ACGTCGTTTCATCAATTCGATCAATGATCTACCCATTGACATTCTTCTACAACCGTGGAAGTGAGTTATTTTTTGGACAAATAACATCCGAACGCTACTGATTTATGCACGCATATCAGTTTGTTTACGAATGAATAAATCTTCTGAATTGAACGAAAACATCAAACAAACTACCATTATTTCAAATTCTCTGCCAATTGCATCCTTTTAGATGATTTATCAATATTTTTAGTCTAAATGAGCCCGTATGTACAATGGTACCGCACTTGGATATAGTGCGATCACCAACCGAATTACCAGTTCAACTATCATTCCTTGTCGACACCACACGTGTGGCTGTCTCTGATCTCAGCACTGATAATCTTGGTAATAATGGTATTGCTACCGTGCTTCTCAATTTTATCAAAAATTTTTTAAATTAGAGTATCAGATATCACTATTCATTATTGTTACTGATGCTACCATAATTATTAACCGAGTATTGTTGTTGTAATTGATGTAATAGAGCACTCATGAACGCTTGCATTGTAAGAGGAAAACTCATCAAAAACTGTGTGTTTCGATGGAAAAGATTATTGAAACACTCCATCAAGCTGTTCTTAGCGATAAAATATTGTGCGACCTTCTGGTAGATATGATAAAGTATTAAGTGCAGCGGAATACTGTGATGGAATTCAGGTCAGTGGAATGCGTCACAAGGTCGTCGTATGACGATGCGCAAATTCTTCTATAATCGCGAGAAACTTCGATGCGTTGAGGGTGAGCATGACTTTGTGATCACTCGTAAAACGTACGTGCATCCGAACGCAATTCCTGATGGTTCGGTGCGTAAAATTATTTGGCAATTAAGCAGTGAGCATGGATATTCCAGGTACGTTCACTATTCATTATTGTTATTATTGCTACCATAATTATTAACCGAGTATTTTGTTGTAATTGATATGATTGAAATATGGCAACGTCGTGAGTGAATGATGATGATTGAAAAAATGGTGTTTCAGATATGCGTTGGTGACCTATGATATTGGACAGAACGCAATGGTAGCCGCATTACCGCATGGCAACGCCAGAGTTAAACTTGAAGCATATCAACGCAAAGAGCCGAGTATGCTTGCGGAACTGAAGATTCGAAGGGAGGACGAGAGGATGAAACGAGAGTAAGTTTTGATTGTTTTTGTTGTAGTGAGTGATATTGATCAAATGAATATTAAAGATATGATACTCGAAAACGTCCGATAATGGATCCAGAAGCAGAGGAGCTGTTAGCAGTGCAGTCGGCATCGAAACAAATGAAACGTTCCAGTTCTGTGGGCCCGTCTTCGTCAATCGCTTTGTACGAAGACGAGGGTTTAGATGTGGAAGTTACTGGCGATTACCCGGTGACACATGAAGAAATGGTCAGTTCGCATTCATTGCTGTCATTACTCTTATTGTTTTTATCATCA